CACAAAGTGGACCTAGGCTGTGGGTGGCGCTTTCCGCTATATTTTTCTTTATTTCCGGTGTTATCCTTTGTGTCTACAGGTTATATCTTGCATTGGTGACTGCAACTTTTTGTCTTCTGCAAGTATATCATATTTAATTTGCCATAGCTTAGTGAGTCTGTGCCCTAAATATTAACTGGAGGTATTGGTTAATCAGTATGGATGCACTAAGCCAGGGTTAATTGATGATGATATTCTTATAGAGGACAAAAAGTTGCCGTCATTGGTACAAGAAAGAATGCCACAAATTAAGGAAAAAGATCGTGGAAAGCGTTGCTCACAGCTTGTCGATTTGGTGCTCTTGAGTCTCAGCTCTGTCATGCTGCAAATGCCGAGGTGAAGACAATGCTTGCTTGCTGTTGTGGGTGGAACCCCCGTCAATCCTCTCCTTAGGCAGTCACAGCAACTTTAAAAAAAATTGTGATATGGGGTTGGCAGCCTAGTCTCTGGCAAGTTGTGTATTGTAGAGAATTACCAAAGTATTTTGGCAGAATATATGTGAGTAATTATACAGAAATTCCGAAGACTTCTGCATATTCTTTTTTTTTTGTCATAGCCTTGGCACCTCTGTTAGTGCTATTTGACCTTGATTTCTAGCACATTTATTAATTTTAACCATTAACCATCGGCACCTCTAATACCAGAATTTATATGAGGGAGCTTTGATAGGTCTTGTGGTAGGCCAACATTCGTGAAGGCCAGGGTGATAGCTTAACCCATTCGCGCCGGGTAAAAATGAACAAAAAATGGGGAAAATGCTGTGCTCTTTTTTTGTATTTTTTAATGAAATGTCTCTACACTAGATGGCTCTGCCTTACCTGATTTCACCTTTACTTGAATTGGCGGGAAAATGTATTTTTACTAGTGTTACAAATATCGATGGTTATTTTTATTATAAACATTATAATTACTATAATGTTATAAACATTAGTAACAGCAAAATAAGATAACGCAAAATAATTAAAGAAAAGGGTAAACAGGCGAGACAGGCAGTACAAGTACAAGTGTAGCCATCTATGTGTGTAAACAATTAAACAAGTAAACTCACAGTGAGCCTGTCACGTATACGTGACGCCCGGCATGAATGGGTTAAGTCTGTGTGTCCTTTTAACCCATTGCTGCTGGGGAAAATGAATAAAAAATGGAGAAAATACTGTGTTCATTTTTTATATTTTTTTGTGAAATGTCTCTACACATAGACGGCTATACCTGAATTCACCTTTCCTTGAATTGGTGGGAAAATGTATTTTTTACTAGTGCTATATCGATGATGTTATTTTTATTATAATCATTATAATTATTATAATGTTATAAACATTAATAATAGCAAAATAAGATAATGTAAAATATTTTCGTAAGTTAAAGAAAAGAGTAAACGTGCAAGATACGCAGTACTCGTAATTGGCCCATTGGTAATTAATACAAGTGTAGCCATCTATGTGTAAAAACAATTAAACAAGTAAACTTACAATGGCCATGGCACAGATACGTGACATAGCCATTGTGAATGGGTTGATATTTGACTCTGCTGTTATCCACTAGTAATGATTGATTTGCTGACTATCAACTTTCAGAAAATGAATAATGACAACCCCAAAATTTAGGTTTCTAACGCTTTAGAGCCATCATAAAGTAAAGTTGAAGATGGAATTAATAGAGATGCTGTGATTAATTGGAAACAAGGTAAAACTACACCTTCTTCTTCTTTCTTGTAATAGGGTTTTAGATTGTTGTTGTCTCTATCCCCTGTATCTTCTTTCTTGGGGGCTTCTTGTTTCTTGAATTATATCAGTTAATTTAGTTCTTTGTAGGATAATCTTTATATGACTTGGTATTCAGTATTTTATTGTAGATGGTTGATGTGCACCTGTAATTAGAAGATTTATATCATTATCTTTTATGTTCAGTCGTCCTAAAGCATGTTTTAGTTTTGTTCTGTGGGAGTTGAATCTTTGGCAGTGTAATAGCTTTTGTTCTATAGTCTCTTCTTGATCCTTGTACCATCTGGAGAAAGGGTCATTTTCTATTTTCATTCTCTGTAGATGTTGTTTTAATCTTGTGTTTGGTTGTTAGTCTTGTGATGCATGGATCTAGTTTTCTGTACTTGGCTCTGGTCCATGGATTTTGGATGTTTTCTTTTAGGACTCATTTTTTGTGTTTAAGAATCTTTTCAAATTTGATTCCCATTGTTTAGTATATTTTAATTTGATTTCTTCTTTGATGCAATTTGGGTCTTGTGGATGGCCATGCCATTATTTATTTCATGGGCTTTCTTTGCAGCTAGATCGGCAATTTTGTTTCCCTTTATATTTTTATGTGATGGAATTCATTATTTTTTTTTTGTTTGTGTTGAGAGAAAGTATATTGTTTTTGTATATTGTATGTTATTTGTTTATAGTTTAGTGGTTTGTGGTTTTGTATTAGTTGTAGTGATGATTGTGAGTCTGTTAATATAACTGTA